TTTATTGTTATAATATGTTATAAATATATATATTTTTAAAAGACTGAATTACAAGACTGACGGTCCTTCCGATCGGTTTTTATAAATTAAAACCGCAGTCCGGTCCGTCTTTGTGTAAGACTGATGATACAAAGACTAAGACGGATGCGTAGGACCAATTATCATCTTTATCTGTAATAGACCTTTAGAAAAAAGAATATTAGGATGAAGCTCTTTTATAACTAAATATTCCTTCACATGGCTTTGTACGGAATTACTTAAAAATATCAGTAATAATAGCGACTGAAGGACGGGAAGACATTTAATTCATCCCTGATGTCAAAAATGACCAATTGACATATATTTTTCATCAGTCCATTGGGATCGTATTATAAGAAAGGATAATTCCAACAGATCCGCTAGAAATGACGTCAGCGCCCGCAATGATCAATTTAGTCAAAGATCCAGTGTAACAATAATATGTCTTTTTATTAATACGTGTTGTTATGGGTATTTGGATTAATAATTTCTGTAGATGAGAAACATAATCTACACAATATAAATGATCTTTTTTGAAATCGACAGCACTTTTGTGAAGGGTTTATAAAAAAAACGTATCGTTTCATGACACTATTAGAAGTTAACTTAATTCTATTGGCTAGTCGTTAATGCATTTTTTTTTTATTTCAGATGCTTTACATACTGGATAATTTTCTTTGGCAATTAGATGATAATATAAAGGAAAGCACTTGTGGATTATTAAAACGAAAGATTCTACATCCATATGCAGTTCCATATATGGTGTTACACTTGGAATTGTACCGAAACCAAGGTAACGAACGATATCACAAACGGAGCCCATATGGAGACAAGAGAAAGGTTTGAAAGTGTAAAGGTATAACATTTTTATTAAAAGTCCGTAAGTCTATCACCAAGACTTTACAACGATCTGACTTTGTCTTTTTTTTAATTTTCCAGCATATATACTGTACATATACTACTAATTCGTAGATTACGCATTTACGCAATAATAAATAAACAAATTATACAATACAAATGTAAAATGTAAAATAAAATTAATAAAAATTAACTAAAAGGGGATCTCTATTCCAAATTTCCAAATCTAACATTTTGCCATAATCAAACATGTCATGTATGTTATTTACATTTGCCGCAGTATCGGACAACCGCAGTTTTGATCGTCGACACTTTCGAGGTTAACAATAGTTTGTTATTTATTTCATTCATAAACTGTAACAGCCTTTGTAATATTGCGATCTTGCAATGTTGAAAGAACTTTTCCGCAAATGGACCAGCAGAATTTCGATAATAGATTGTTTACGTTGAAAATATTAACAAGCGAGGAGCCTTCAGTACAATATATTCCGCAATATGAAATGAAGTTGCAAATGAAAATTGGACGAAGTAGCTGAAATTCATAGAAAATCACATGACCCGAGCCTTTTTTGATGATGAGATCTTCAGATTATCAACTTTATATTATATCGACTACGTTTTCGTATGATCACTCTTGTCGAAGTGTGAATGCTTTTAGCGAAAAAGTTTATTTTTTTTTTTTTTATTGTTTCTATATATGGATGATGATGGAATACTCGTGAATTACGTACTTCTTTGACATCATTATTCCACAATATATAATAAAGTTTTTGTTGCAAGACAAGATTTTCACATTATGTGGGAATATTCTTGTGTTTTACACACAGATTGTTATTTTTGGCGTAAGTCATAATTTTGTGCAAATTGACAATTAGAAGAAATAAAATTATTTTTTGAGATGTTAAAATGAATTTGTTATATACATATTAATTTTATCAAAACCTTTCAACAATTTTCTTAAAATCAGACGCTCGCTTTACTAATTACAAGTAATTATAGACATCATGTTCATAATTTCGTAATTTTCGGAAATCTTACTGACAATCATCTTGATCATTACCATATCCATATTAGTATCCTGGACTTACCCTATAAACATGGGTGGGAAATTTACGTCATTTTGCTTATCAATAAACAATATTTATTATATCCATATTAATATCTAGGACTTTTTCTATTCAAATGACAAAATATCACCCTATATTTATTTATACACATGGGTGGGAAATCTACTTCGTCATTTTGCTTATCAATGATCATTTTCTTATAGATTGATGTAATCATAAAAATTAACTGATAAAAGTAAAGTTTGGAATTATTTATAATTTGAATATCAAAGGAAATTTATATATAAAGCACAGGATAAAACTTTGATTTATTCCCTATTGTCGCTAATTGGACTATATACAACAAGATTAAAAAAAAAATGTCTCAATTAGTTCTCGTCGCCTCAGCAATGTCCACTATGCTTAAGACTCCCGTAAAAACATATGATGAATGCGTTGCTAATGGATATGAGGTTTTACCTGAACAAATTTTGGATATAAATACCGTTCATTCCTTATTGTTATTTAGACACGAAACCGGGGAAAGGGAAAGAAACACTGAATACCGCGAACCTAGTGAAAGCTCCATACAAATTTTTGTTAAAACACTTTCAGGAGAAAGTCGGGCAATGTTCGTCTTCCCATATGGCACTGTCCTTAGATTGAAACAAGATATTCAAGCAATTCTAGGATATGACATCACACAGATGCGTCTTGAATTGGCTGGTAGACCATTAGAAGATCATCGAACTCTAGCATCTTACAATATCCAACATGGCGATAATGTGTATATTCTATTTCGATTATTAGGAGGAGGGTTTAGTTTTTTTGTTATCAATAAAAATTTTCTAAACAGTAAATATGATTATGACTTCACGAATTTGAAAGATAAAGGTACAACTTTCATTCGTGGTAAAGTACTATACAACAGACCTTATGGATGGGAAAGAATAGCACTCAATGTTTCGGGAAAGTATGGTTCTGATGATAAATGGTTAGGTTGTGTTGGAAATAGTTCTGATGAATGGCCAGTCTCTTACCATGGTACTAATAAAGACTGTGCTGATTCTATTGCCGATAAGGGTTACTTGCTTAGTAAAGGAAAAAGATTTAAACATGGGAAAGGAATTTATTCATCTCCTATAATTGAAGTGGCTGCAGATCCATATGCTGTTAAATTTGACCATAATGGTGTCAAATATAAAATTGTTTTTCAGAACAGAGTTAACCCTGTGGGGCTAAAAAAGATCGATGATATTGCATATTGGGTTACACCAGATGAAAAAAATATTAGACCTTATGGGTTATGCATAAAAAAATTCAATAGTCCATTGTATGTTTATAGGGATATAAGTAGCAAAAGCAATTTTTTTTTAAAAGCTTACAAGAATGGTCAAAAGTAATGCGTCGCCGACATGAAAAATGTAAAATGATCATTAGTATTTTGTAAATAAATTTAAATAATTTAATAAAATAAAATTCAAAAAATTCATAAACCCCAAAATACACAAAAATTTTGATAAATTTCAGTTTATCACCTCCATTCTTTATAACGTTATTTATACGAACTGTTAACCAACTTTTTGCATACATCGGATCCCGATTCAACCAAAATTTTTGATTGCAATCCACAACTAATCTTGTGTTCTAACTGTTATTTAAACCCGTCTTAGACGATGGTCCATTTCATTCCAAAGGTATCTATTAGATTTAAGTCAGGTTATCCTCAAACCACGTTTTCACATGTTAAATTATACTAAATATTATTTGATAAGTGTGATTATATTTTATTATTTTATTGACCTAGGTATACATGTGACCGGATACTCATCATCAAATTTTTTTAAAAAAACGGAATGTTTATCAGCACTTTGAAATATTACCTGAAAAAGTCAAGGGTTCCGGAATAAGCTGTTAAAATCCATTTTAAAACATGCTCCTAAATATCAACCTAAAAAAAAAAATAGTTGAAGGCTTATTCTATAAGCTTGCTCAAAATGTTGTTCCATCAATTCGTTTTTTATGATCAATTAGATATTATTGTAAATATTCGACCAATTCTTGAAGATGAAGTTCATCAACAATATTTTGAAGTTTATCTAATGGCATATGCCCCGAGTCAGCTAAGTAGAGTGTGAAAATTTTCTTAGTAATGTAAACATCGCGGCAAAGTATATATTTGATCGGACATTACTCTTTAATTTTACATTTAGACTTGGCTGAAAAATATTATTCCTATTTATTTTAATACCTTCAAAAATAGAAGTAATTTTTATAATTTTTAAAAATATCGATATTGAGAACTGATTTCCAAATATTCTAACTAATTTACTGTAAACCACCATTTTTTATTGTGTAAAATGTAAAACTTACAACTTATGTAACTTTACTGTAACTCGTACAAAAAATTATTTTATTTTTATAAATTAATATTCACGTTAAGAATTTTAAGTATTTAAAATTTTTAAAATTTAAGAATTAATAATATTTCTACGAATTTCTTTGAAGCTTTTAATCATTTCATTTTTTTTGTTAATGCAATAACACCACATTTATGTTTTCACTTATTTTAGATTCTTCGGAAAGTATTTCGGAATTTCAAGAAGCTTAAACTTTATAGGTAAGAATATTTTTTTATACTTAAACGTATTAAAGGGTTAATTTCCCTTACGAGTAATTGTTATTCGTGACAAAATATTAATTAATAAACCTCGATTTACAATTTCGTGTCTCAACCTTCTTAATTTTCAGTTAAAAAATAATCAAGGCTTGGAATATGTTTAAAAATTTTAATTGTTGCTAGTTAGATGTCTTTAAATATAAAAATAAAAGAACAGAAATGCCGAAGAAAAGTATTCATAAAATAATGAATTATTTCAAATGAGAATAAAGTGAATATTTAGACATCAAAATTTTATTGACTTAAATTTTATTTTCATTTAAATTTATGAGGAAATATGTTGATTTTATATAAATAAGTCAGTATTTGTTTTATAAAATATTTATCATTTACTAACTTAATCACTATAATAAGTTAAACGTCCAATTAAAATATTTAAAGCTTGTTGCCGTGATAAAGGGGCTTCTAATATAAACTTTAAGTAATAAAGCAGGCTATCTTTAGGTTGAATTAGAATCATTATCAAGAGCAAGTCACACGAAGAGAGACCATTAATAAACTGCCACTAGTATATATTTAACATTAAACAATCGATATTCATTACATTCTTCTAAAATTGCTAAAAGGGATAAATCTAAAAGTACATTAAAATGATAAAATATTTAGTAATTCAAATTAATGATATAAGCACCAAACCAAGTCTAACATTAACTTAATTTTACTACAATATATAATATTTATCATATGTAAATGAATCACTAAATCTGAAAGGATGAATAATTATTATAGAGCGCTTATTTAGGATTGTGAAATGTTTCACAATTCAAGAGAAATTATTTCAAGAGCGGCATATTTCTATATTTGCTTACAAAGTTAATTGGAAAATTTGGCGACAAATGAATTGAAAACTTGTCGTTAATTTACTGCGTCATTCAATCAATGCCAATATAGCAATGGTGA